CCGAGGAAGTGGGCGGCCTAAGGTCATATGTGGCGGAGATAGTCGCTAGACAGGTTGGGTTGCATGCCACGGCCAGGAAGGAAAGGAGGGAGAAGAGGAGGAGGCAGGTCGGGAGCCAAGGACTTAGCGGGTCAAAGTCATCATTATTGATGATGTTGCGCCCCCCAGGACAATAGGGGAGGTCCAAACGGTTGCGGTCGCTGAATCTAGGGCCCATGCTGAGGAGGTGACCAGCCAGAGCCCTACGCATGAGGCATCTTACAAGCCAGGCAAGGAGCCTGCTGGGACTTCAGGAGGCGTTGGGGAGCTGACAACACCCTCTCAGCCTCCTGCAGAGTCTTCGGTGTGCGAGTCTAGCAAGAAGCGGGAGGGCAACCCCTACTGGCCTTTTCGCCATTGGGTCTCGGAGCTCGAACCCCAAGTATGGGAGAAGTCTAAGGCTATGCTAATGGGAGTGTCATCATGCCCCTGTTCGCCCAGGAGGGAATTCCCAGAGGGAGATAGCTTCATCCCGGAGGCGCCTCTCGATAGGGAGAGCTCGGTCTTGGGGTCAGCGACGGCACAAATCTAGGCGCACCAATAGTTTAACCTGTTAGGCCTCATGTTTATGATCCTATTATCTAATCTAGTTTTGATGATTAACAAATAATTTATAACATCATTTGTCGAGTGTTTGTATTTGCTTGTTAGGAATTCTGTACAAATATCCTCTGTCGGAGGTTGGTTGGACTTGTGCCTTCACGATGATATTCAAAAGAGGTTGGAAGGAAAATCAGAATGAAGTCGTCGCAATTTAAGTCAAAGTTAATATCGCTTCATCCCTGCAATCAAGACGAGCAAATTGAAGATCACTTATTTGGGTATATAATTTTATAGTTTAGGCTTTACTTCATGTGTTTATACTTTAAAGCTCAAACTACACACATACACGTTTCGTTTTATAGTTTTCAAGTATTGAACAGATAGATACATTTATATACATACACATTTATTTTGATTTATCATTATTTTTGGATTATAAACTTGATGACACTTTTTATACCTTTCCCTAACTCTATTAATCTATTTGAGAATATTTCAAAATCTGCTTAAAATGATTTCATCAAAATCAAGTTTTAACGTTTTTGTATTTTTGAACGGCTTGCAAAATAATTGAGTTTTCACATTTGGGAAATACAATTTAAGAAAAAAAATTTCTAACATGTTCATCTTCATGTATATAAATGCTTCCCAAAGTTTTACTAATTTTGGAGTTGGTTTACTATTTTAAATAAATTTTAGAAAATCAAGTGTTCAGCAGTTTTCAGAATCTAAAATATCTATTTTTAAAACAGCGAGTTTTCACAAATACGAAGTGATATTTCAGAAATTTCTTCTCTAATATGTTTATCTTCAAGTGTAAAAATGATTCCCCAAAGTTTATTATTTTTGGATTTGATTTGCTATTTTTAATTGATTATAGAAATTAGCTACGCAAAATTTTAGAATCTGTCATGCATATTTTTAATCGACTGAACAATGTTTTCAATCGGCCATGAACAATGTTTTCAATCGACCGACTAGAGCCATTTTCTAGTGTCTGGGTTTTACAGACCATCAGTCGACCGATGCGGTGAACTAGTCGACTGATAACGGCTAGTTTGCACAGCAACGGCTAGTTTTTGGACTGTTTTGTTAGAGAGGCTATATATATGCCTCATAACTCATTTTGTTTGATCAAGAAAGTTTAAGAAAGAGTTTTGGCAGTTTGTTTAAATGGTTTTTGAGAAAATTCAAGTTTTTTTATGTGAAGAGAGTTTCACAAAGAGAAAGATCTTCAATTTCGGTTTTGAGGCGATTCTACCTCAAATCTTCATCTACATCTCTTTTTCTTCTTTGGAGAAGTTTTCTAAACTCATTATCTAGCTTATTTTTATTTTTGATTCTTATATATATTTGCTAGATTAATTTGAGTTTAGTTTTCATTTTATTTATTGTTTCACACACAACCTCTTGAGCTTAAGTATTTCACATTTAGTATATTTTGGTTGTGGGTGTGATCCATTGAGTGAGCTTAAATTTAGTTCTCATTTTTATTAGAGAACAAATCTTGTATTTGCACTTATATTGAGAGAACACATTATAATACACAAGGACACTTAGAGAAGTGATTGGTGAGAGACCGGGGTTGATTCCAAGAGGAGTGGGGTGGTAGTAAAGCCTAGGGAGATGTGATAAATCCAAACACTTGAGGAAGGTAACATGGGTAGGCCAACACTTAGAGAAGTGTATTGTAGGATTGACAGTGTGTGAGTTATAAAAGTTTTTAGTGAGCTTTGAAAACCGTTTGTGTAGATTTTTGAGATAGTGAAGAATCTCCACTAGGTGAGGAACGAAGACATAGGTCAAGGGTTGACCGAACTCCGTGATCATATTGCTTGTTTGTATTTGACATTGGCGCATTTATTCTTGTGTACATTTTCATATCGCATATTGTCACATAGTTTATATCGCTTGTTGTTTTGTATATCCTTGCTTATATCATTGTGCATATCATATTGTTAGGATATTTAGTTTAGAAGTTTTAAATTGGCATCGAAATTGGATTAGATTAGCAAATACCCTATTCACCCCCCCCCCTCTAGGGTACTTTCACACCCTTCCAAAGGATGAGGGGTTCATGTGGGAGATGCCAAGCGTCGTCCTGCACTTAGCCTTTAAAGGCTACTTGGTGCGGGGGGCGTTGCTCGAGGCAAAGTTATTTAGCCGACTTTCTCACATGAATCAGTTCCCTCCTAAGTTGGAGATGGAATTTGCTAGGGAGAAGTCAGCTAGGGAAGTGACGGAGAGAAAGGACAAGCTTAGAGGCCAAGCTAAACAATAATGAGGCCAGCTAGCACCGGGAGCTGGATGCGAGGGAAGCCCTCATCAAGGGGTACAGATTGCACGACGCCAAGCAGACAACTTCCATTGATAAGCTCCAAGGCGAAGTGGTGAAGCTCAAGGAGGAGGTCAGCCGTCTCTAGCAGGGAATCTCTGAGCGGGATGGCCACATATCTTCTTTAGAAGAAGAGGTCGAGTCCGAGAAGCATCTTAAGGTGATGGCTCAGGAGAATGCTTGGTCGAATAGTCTCTCAGCTGAGCACCTAAAGTGGGACCTTGAGCAGGAGCGGTCGGCCCACCAGGCATCCAGAGCAATCATCAAGGACTTGGAGGATCGACTCGTTCACTTGGACTCAGAGCAGTACAAGGTGAAGGTGGTCGATGACTAGCGCCAGGGTCCCTTAGGGAAAATCAAAGTGGCCTTGGCTTGCAAGGCTGGTGTCGACTATCTGGCTTCACCGCTTCCTCCCGCCTCTCGCCCCGCACCAGACCACCTTTACCCTCCTCAAGTTTCTTGCTGTCTCAACCTCCTGAAGGAGATCGAGGTGAGTGGAGGGGGGCTGGAACAGGCCTTGGACGACGGGGATGATGATGAGTCAGGAGACGACCCTCTCTCTCTCTCTCTCTCTCTCTCTCTCTCTCTCTCTCTCTCTCTGTGTGTGTGTGTGTGTGTGTGTGTGTGTGTAAATATCAATGTGGATAATGTAATAAAGTTTGTTTGAAGTTGGAATAAAAATTTGGACTTTGCATTCATTTTGGAATTTGCCTTCAATTATTCCTTATTTTAGCTTTGGTCGTTTGTAGCTCCAATCTAGCTGAGAGAACAAGTGTTAGTTGTCGCGAATTGGTTGCATTGGGACGACCCGAGTGTGGATAGGTCGAATCGAACAACTCATCTACTATGTCTTCTTGTTATTGGTGAGATGTCTTGGTCTTTTTGTCGAGAACAACCAAAAGGTTAGAGTGCCTAGGGCTTAATGAGGATGCCTAGGTCTTTCGGCAAAGTGACAACGAGGAGGTTGGGTGCCTTGGGCTTAATGAGGACGCCTAGGTCTTTTCGGCAAATGACAACCTGGAGGTTGGGTGCCTAAGGCTTAATGAGGACGATTTGGTCTTTTTAGCAAATGACAAACCGGAGGTTGGGTGCCTAGGCTTAATGAGGACGCCTAGGTCTTTTCAGCCTGCTATGGTAGTCGAGTTGCAAATGTGAGAGCCTACCGCGTAGCGGGTGTGCCTTGGGTTTATCCTGAGAAGGCATCAAGGGCTTAGGATTCCTGCATAGATTTGGCACTTCGAGAGTGCGACACAAGAGTCATATTAAAAGGATTTCATTAATATGGAATGAAATTCTGTACAAAATTATTAAAAGTATTTTTTGAGATGTTTAATATTCCATGGGTGTTGTAGGATTCTCACATCCAGGGTTCTTAGCCTATAAGTGCCTGCTCGTAACTTCTCAAGAACTGTGTATGGTCCCTCCCAGTTGGGAGCCAGTTTGTCTCACCTGGTATCTCTGTCGAAGGTGGCTTTTCGAAGGATGAGGTCTCCGACGTTGAATCTCCTGGGTCAGATTTTGTTGTTGTAATACCAGACAATTCGTTGCTGATTGATGACCTGGGTCCGAAGCGTTTTCTCTCTGAGTTCATCTGGGAGATCAAGACTGACCCGAAGTCCTTCTGAATTTAAGTCTTCATCGAAGTGTTGTAGTCGGATGGTTGGCATGCTAACTTCGACTAGGGTGACTGTCTCAGTGTCATAGGCTAGCTTGAAGGGAGTTTCTCTTGTTAAGTTCTTGTGGGCCGTGTGGCATCCACCTTCTTCTTTAAAGCTTTGAGTATGTATTTGTTGGTGGCTTCGGCTAGTCCATTGAATTTGGGGTGGGCGACTGAGAAGAATCTGAGGCGGATGTTGTATTCTTCACACAAGCTTCGGAAGCCTCCACTATCGAACTGTACGAAGGAAAGGGGCATACCAAAATGCCAGACGATGGACCTCCAAACAAAGTTTGTGATGTTACTTTCTTTAATCTTGGCCAGTGGTTCAGCTTCAATCTATTTGGTGAAGCAGTTGATCGCCATAATAAAAAACTACCGCTACCCCGAAGCTTTGGGGAGAGGACCCAGCAAATCCAACCCTCACTATGCGAAAGGAATTAGACTAAGCATGAGGGTCAGTTCAGTGGCTGTTGCTCGCGGAATGGATGAGTAAAACTGACACTTCTTGCATAGAGAGACGAGTCGCCTAGACTCGGCTAAGATGGTGGGCCAGTAGTGCCCTTGGTGGATGACTTTTTGTGCGAGGGTTCTAGCCCCAGGATGATTCCCACATGCGCCCTCATGGATCTCCCGAAGAACATAGCTAGCTTTTGATGGTCGAAGACACCGAAGATAGTGTCCCACATCGCTGCTAGAATGTGACATCTGATAGAGCTGACTGTCGATCATAAGGTAGTGGCGAGAGTTCCTTTGTAGACATCTGGCTTCAGCGGTATTATTAGGCAAGGTGCCTTGCGTTAGGTAAAGGGTAATGGGATCTAGCCAACAGGGCAACATGGGCATCTTGGTTTGCATGATTGTATCTGGCGGCTTAGAGATGTTGGGACATTCGAGGGTGTCGGTGTAGAGAGGTCCTGGGCCGTTCCCTGAACTTGTTGATCCAAGCTTAGTGAGAGCATTTGCCCGAGCATTAAAAGCACGGGGGACTTGGGCTATCTTAAAATCCACGAAGTTGGTTAATAGCTCCTTAGCTGCTCTGAGGTACAAGGCCATTCTTGGATCTTTAGCCGCATATTGCTCATTCACTTAATAGACGACAATCTACGAGTCGACCAATATGTAGAGGCGCTCGGCCTTCACTGCTTGGGTTGCTCGAAGGCCAGCAAGAAGAGCTTCATATTCGGCTTTGTTGTTTGAGGCCGAGAAACTAAAAGCGATGGAGTGCTCGTCCATCGACCCGTCTAGGCTGCGCAAGACCACTCCTTCTCTACTATCGGCTTCTCTTGAGGACCCATCCACCTTCAATAACCACCAAGAGGTAAACTCAGGCGAATTATACTCTAAGGTGAGATGGGTCTCTTAGGCAAATGCTTGGACCGCTAGGGGTGTTGGAGTTTCTTATTGAGTCGATGGCGAGGGTACGTCCTGCTTGTCGTCTGGTGAGGTCGACTCAATGAGGAAGTTGGTCAATGCTTGAGCTTTGATCGTCATTCTTGGCTCGAACTATATGTCATACTCATTGAGTTCGACTGCCCAGACGACCATTCTCCTAGAGGTTGTGGGACTTCCTAGTGCTTTCTTCAGATGTAGACTCGTCTGCACAATTATGGAATGGGCGTGGAAGTAGGGGTGGAGCCTCCTCGAGGTGGTAATGAGGATGAAGGCAGCCTTCTCTATGAGAGGGTCATTGAGCTCGCCCGCTTTCAAGATTCGGCTCATATAGTACACTGGCTTCTAGATGTTCTCTTCCTCTCATATTAGGACAGAGCTGACGGCTTCTAGGGAGACGGCCATATATAGGTAAAAGTCTCCCCTCTTATAGGCTAGCTCAGCATTGGATTGGTGCTCAAATAGGTTTTGAGGTCTTGAAAGGCTGCGCTGCATTCGGCCGTCCAACTCATGTTCTCCTTCAACTTCTTGGATCCCCTTAGTGTCTTGAAGAATGAGAGGCTCCTCTCAGCAGATTTGGAGAGGAAACAACCCAGCGCCGCTATCTTCTCGTTCAACTTCTGGACATCCTTCAAGGTACGTGGTTCGGATAGTCACTATATGGCGACTATCTTCTCTTGGTTGATCTCAATGCCCCTATGGGTGATCATTAACCCGGGGAACTTCCCTGACTACACCTCAAAAGCACACTTGGCTGGATTGAGCTTCATGCGGTAGTGCCAGAGAGTGGAGAAGGTCTCATCTAGATTTGATATGTGGGACGATGCTTGCTTCGACTTAACTAGTAGGTTGTCCACATAAGCCTCCAAATTACGACCGATCTGAGTCCTAAAGATTATGTTAACAAGCCTCTGGTATGTGGCCCTAGCATTCTTGAGCCCGAATGACATCATTTTGTAGCAATAGGCCCCCCTGGTTAGTGATGAAGGAGGTCTTCTCCTGGTCATGCTCTGCCATGAAAATTTGGTTGTAGCCGGAGAAGGAGTTCATAAAGCTAAGTAGCTCATTCCCCGAACTATCGTCGACCAGCTAATCGATTCGAGGGAGGGGATAGCTATCTTTGGGACAAGCTTTGTTAAGATCGGTGAAGTCCACACACATCGTCCATTTGTTAAGCACCTTCTTTACCAACACCATGTTGGATAGGCATTCTGAGTACTAGACTTCCCGAATGAAACCAGCTCTAGGAGCCATTCGACTTCATCAGTGGCCACCTTCTGTGTCTCAGGGTCAAGATGTCTCTTATATTGTCAAACATGCTTAGTGTGCAGGTCAACTGCCAGCTCGTGGCTTATCACTTCCGGGGGGGGGAGGGTCCGTAGCATATCTTCGGTCCCCCAGGTGAACACATTAGTGTTCGCCTGTAAGAACTCCATCAATGTGTTGGCCTTCTTGTTTTGATAATGTTTAACAAACAATTTACGACTAATGTTGTTTGTCTAGTGTTTATGGTTTTCTATTTATTATAGATAAACAAGTTGGAGGTTGGATGAAATTGTGTCATAACGATCATATCAAATGGAGGTTGGCGGAAATAGTAGTTGACGCCTTGCAATTCAAGTTGAAGATCCAAGTTCAATCTTCATTCGCAAGTGTACCAAGATAGAGCTTCGTTGAAGATCACAAGCTTGGGTATAATTAGTTTAGGAGTTTATATTATGTGTGTTAAGTACTTTAAGCTCAATATCATATACACACACACACACACATTTTGGCTTTTAGTTTATCCACAAACAAAGTTTTTACAAGCATATAAATAAATATTTATATTCATACATGTTTGTTTTTACGTGGATAAGTTGGTTTGGTTTAATTTCATAGATATGAAACAAATATATATTCATATACATACTCATATGTTTCATATTCTATTGTATTTGTAAAAATATTGTATTCTCAGTTTTTGGACTTAACAATAATCATATACATCTTTTATTAATTCTACAAAATCATTTTGTAATGTTTCAAAGCATGGTTAAGCTAAAATGTCAAAACTTATGTTTTCACATTTTTATGTTTTGGACTATTTTGTAAAATGATGATATTTTTCATTTGGGAGGTTCTTTTTAAAAACCAATTTTTGTAATATGTATATTATCACGTTTACAATCATTTTCTAAAGTTTTACATTTTTTGATTTTATTTGCTATTTTTAAAAGAGGTTTGAAAATCAGATTTCTGTTTAAAACAGGCTATGTGCATGTCTTGAGTCGACTCATGAACAGTGTTGAGTCGACTCATAAACTACTGTGTAATTTACATTTTGTTTCTGATGAGTCAACTCACGACATCATGAGTTAACCCATCAGGTTGAGTCGACTCATGTCTGTCATAAGTCGACTCATAAACTGTGCTGGAAAGTATGTTTTGTTTCTGCTAAGTCGACCCATGACTTCATGAGTCGACCCATGCATGATGAGTCGACTCATGAATTTGATGAGTCGACCCATAAGCTGTTTTTAGCCTATAACAGCTAGGTTATGAGTCGACCCATGATTTTTATGAGTCGTCCCATTAAGTGTTCGTTGCACAGTAACGGCTATTTTCCAGCTTTATTTTCATTTGGTTTTTTGGTCATTTCCTTGGGATTTTTGGCTGAGGTCTTGGGTAGCTATATATACCCCCTTGCTCTCATCTTCTAAATGATCCAAGAAATGTTTTAAATAAGTTTAACAAGGGTTTAAGTTTCGTTTAGTTTTGGTTTTTGGTTTATGAAGAAGTTTTCACAAGTGGAGGAGATCATCTTCATTTGAGCTTCAATCTCCATCTTTCCATCTTGCTATTTCAGGGAAGAATTTCTAAACTCAGCTCTAGCTTTGCTTTAATATTTATAATTTATCATTTTTATTAAGCTAGGGTTTATATTGAGTTTATGATTGATTTTCTCATTATTTACACACACAACCATTGAGCTTATTGTATTTTCATACTTAGTATAATTTGGGTTGTGGGGAGTTGTAACAATTGAGAGTGAGCTTAATTGAGTTCTCATTCATTGTAGAGAACAAATCATTTGTTATATTGTGAGATCGTAAAGTTTTTGGTTAGCTAGAAAACCGAGTGTGAGGTGTAGAGATCTCCTCGAGGTGAGGAGCGGAGACATAGGTCGTGAGGACCGAACACCGTGAATAATTGTGAACGTTGATCGGTGAGCATTGAAAACCGATCTTGTGTGGTGTAAACGTTATTCGGGTGAACGTAGAAAACCCGGTTGTGATAGTGGATTTCTCCCTGGGAGTGGGGAGCGGAGACGTAGGACGGAAGGTCCGAACTCCGTGATCATATTGTGTGTTTGCATTGTTTTTATTGCCCACTATCTAGTTTAGATTGTTCACCCTTGTGTTGTTTATATATCCTTGCATATAATTCACCATATATCTCTTTGCTAGGATATATCCCTTTGCTCATATTGCATATTCTTGCTCATAACATATTGTATATCTATCTTGCAAGAATAATTTATTAATAAGTTTTAATTGGCATAAAATCGGATTAGATTAGCATAAGACCCTAATCATCCCCCTCTAGGGTCCAACATAATGTTTCCCGCAGAGGCTCTACGAGGTTGGACCCGATCTTGATCGTCTTTTGTCCTTCTCGGTCGATCGACACCTCCTGGAGTTCTTCGACCAGAGTCGTCCTCTGTCGTTCCATAGCTTTCTATATCTGGAGACAGGTCTTCTCAATAGGCGGGGTGTCTTACACACTCTTGCCCTTAGTCGAGAGTAGATAACAGGACTTGGCCTCTCGTTGATTGCTCCTGGTGACCCCGACCCCATTAGGAGTTAGGAACTTCATCATTTGGTGGTGGGTTGAAGGGATGGCCCGCAAGAGGTGGAGGGCGGTTCGGCCCAAGATGACATTGTGGGCCGATTTGAGATTCATCACCAGGAATTAAACTTGGACGGTGGATTGCCGGGGGTATTCTCCGATCGTTAAGGGGAGAGTGGTCATCCCTTCGGGAAGGAGAGAGTGCCCTGTGATTCTAATGAGGGGCCCCTACATGGAAGCAGTCGGGATTTATCAATACCCATCTAATTGAAGGCATCGATATACAGGATGTTCACGAACTTCCCGTGTCGACCATGATCCTCTTCACCTGGAAGCTGTTAATCTCGGCTGTTATGACGATGGGGTTGTCATGAGGCGTCTCAATGCCCTTTAGGTCGGCGTCTTCGAAGGAGATGGGCTCCTTCGCTCTCGGATTCTTGTCACACAGGTCGACCCGCAACGTTCTTTTAGCATACCTCTTCTGAGAGTTGTTGGATGACCCTCCAACAATGGGGCCGCCACTGATCATATTAATGACCCCCTTATAGATGGGCTCCGGTGGTCCACCATCCTACCATGGTTGGGGACGAGGTGATCACGAACGAGATCTTCTATCGGTCTTGACTGAGGTGGCTTCCCTCCTATCTCTGTGGGAGACAAACTTCTTCAGATTCCCTCTCTGCATCAGGTCCTCAATGTCTCTCTTCAGGATACGACAATCATTAGTGAGATGGTTATGATCTCTGTAGTAACAATAATATTAATGAGTATCTCTACTCTGTGGGTCGCTACCTCATCTTGGGAGGGGGCTCAATGAGGTGCCCCTCCTTCCG